TGGGTTTCCCACACCCGTTTTGCATATTTGTTTGATTTATCATTTCCCCAAGTTTTCCTTTAGATTTAGCAATGCTTTAGAAGTAGCAATGTATCACAAATACCGTTACGTTGACACACACACACACACACACACATGCACGCACGCACGCACGCACACACATACATACACACACACACACACACACACACACACACACACACATATATACACACACACATGCCGATGTGCACACATGCGCTGACACACACACATGCCGATGTGCACACATGCGCTGACACACACACATGCCGATGTGCACACATGCGCTGACACACACATGCATACATGACTGTACATGCAAATACGTCCGGCAGGACGCACAGACACCTCGTCTGTGCATGCATATCAAGGACAGATTTTGATTTGATCAAACCGCTGCTTCGCTAGTGTCGCTGCGTCTTACACAAGCAATGTGAATATTCTTGAACTGGAGTCCCACCTTGTTCCACTCTTGATATTTTTCCTTTATTTGGAGTGTGCCCCCCCCCCCCCCCCCTACTTCCTCACCCGGAAGTTGCAATTCAGCTTCTGCATCCTGCGCTCGTATTTTGCCGTTTTTTCAAGTTTTTCGCCTGCTCCGGCATTTTGCAGTGTTTTTAATTATGTGCAATCACTATAGCATTCATTGTATTCAAGCCGGACCCCGGCACTGCACAACCACAGCAGTCGGTCGGTCTGACTCGATTTTCAAAAGACTAAGTACACGCTCCTCTCAGTTAGGGCTGTCATGTGACATGCCCCAGGAAGTAAAGATTTGACTAGAATCGATTCATTGTGTTCTTGTTGTGTTGTGGCCTTCACCGCTATGGAGGGTATGCGGTTACATCATCAGTCGAGATGCTGTGGCAAGGTCGCGGCACACACACACGGCGGTGTTGTGCTAGAGACTCACGAGGCTGTATGAATACAATGTAGCCGTGACTGACTCGCGCTCTGCACATAGTGCCCATAGGCAATTCCGCTGACTCACCACCATGACATCATTCGCATAACCATGACATTTTAACTCGTATACTCTCAGCACTCAAAGCACATACTTGTAGTTACGTAAGTAGTTATCATTCGTTCATTGTCTCACAAGGAGAAAAAGAAGACAAGGCAGTGCGAGTATGCGCACTGCTATCCATGCATTCCTACGGTGTACTATTTATGTGTATACAAATTACGTGTCATAAAGTAGCCATGCTACACTATCCTCCTCCTACCGAAAATTCACGCCCTCGTGAATAGAGAAAGAAAACAGAAACATAAAAAAATAAAAACTCAGGACATAGCAAAATCAGTAAACTGAGCAGGCAGTCCAGGATTGCGAGCGAGATGGGCTCTGACGACAGCGGACAACAAGTAGAGTCATGGTCGAGGGCTTGCAGAGTAAGCACCGTGAGGCATCAGACGCGAACCGAATGTTCCTTCTGATCCAACTGCATTAGCCGAGAAGTACGACTAGTGCCAGAAACCTTCGGGAGGGCGAACAAATTTTCCACTCACCGCATTGTACCTGGGCAAACTGACCACTGAGAGGTCGACATTCACAGCCTTGGCAGCAGCCAACTCAGTTGCGGAGAGACCAGCAAGTACAGGTGTGGTGACATCCACAGACGCCGTTGTGGCAGAGGAACTAGCTTGCTCTGGCTGATTTGTGGGAGTCTCGAGATGGGAGGGTTGCACCTCCGGCAACAAGGAACGCGACAGACCATCTGCATTCAAGTGCTGCCGACCCGGTCGGTGAACAGTAGTGAAGGTGTACTCAGCGAGTTGCTCCACCCATCGAGCTTTTCGACCGCGTGGTTCCTTCACGGACATCAGTGCGGTGAGGGCAGTGTTATCTGTGCGGGCAATGAAATTCCGACCAAGCAAATAGTGCCGGAACTGATTCGCGAAATGGACAAGGGCGTTTCCCGGTCTGACCCATCATTATTCCTCTCTGCCTTCGCCAATACCCGGCTGCCGAATGCAATGGGGCGTTCCTCGCCATCTTGCATTTGACTGAGGACAGCTCCAATGGCCACCTTGCTTGCGTTAGTGTCCAAAATAAAGCCGCCAGACGAAACAGAAAAGTCGGGATACGCCAACACGGAGGCTGTGGTCAGTGACAGCTTCATAGACGTCAACGCCGCATCACTACTCTTAGTCCATGTAAAGCTGGCACCCTTGCCTGCTAATACATTCAGTGGAGCGGAGCGCTGAGCAAAACCACGGATGAAGCTGCGGTAAAACCCGGCGTACTCCAGAAACACCTGTACACCTCGTACAGACTGGGGTACGGCCCACTTCACAATAGCCTCAACCCTGGTGGGATCCGGAGCCAAACTTCATGGCCAAGGAAGAGCACCTTCCGTTGGAAAAAAGAACATTTTTCCAAGCTTACCTTTAAGCCAGCAGCCCGAACCCGGCCAAATACAGACTGCAGGATCTGGAGCTGTCCAGTGAAGGTAGAGCTGGCATTCAATACACTGTTGAAAAACACTTGACAGATTGGTTGGTTAGGCACACTACATAAACCATGAAGCACCGCTTCCATTACACGGTGGAACGTCGCTGGACCATTTCTACAGCCAGACATAACCAAGAAATCACACAAACCCAACGGTGTCGTAACGGCAGTCTTTGCCGTATCGTCCTCGTGCTTAGGAACCTGCCAATATCCTGACGCTAAATCCAGGCAAGTGAACCATGAACAGCCAGAGAGTGAGTTCAATATGTCATCAACACGTGGGATAGGATACGCATCTGGCTCCGCAATGCTGTTCAACTTGCGGTAGTCGATACATAACCGGAGAGATCCGTCCTTCATGGGAACGAGAACTATGGGCGACGCCCAGGGTCTAATGGACTCGGTGAGTATACCACGGGACAACAGATCATCCAGCAAAGCTTGCAAAGCGCGCGTAGGCTGCTTATCTGGCTGTATATCACCAGTACTACTACTATGTGGCAAAACATCACAAGGACCAAAATCACCCTCCTGCAAGAGAAACAAGTCATGATTCTCACGGAGAAGCTCTGTAAGTCTGTTCTTTTCAGGTACTGCCTGATGATTCCGAGACTCAACATACGTACAGGTTATCTCGGCACGTTCAGGGGATAGCACAAACGGTTGCATATCCGCAACAGATGAATCAGCAGGATCATCATCCTCTCCAATCAAGTTATCGGGTACAGGAGATAATTCTGCAATATCAACATCTGTAGCAATGTGTACTGGGTAGTCAGAGTGATTCTCCAACACAACTACCGCACCGGACCTGCCAGGTCCAACCGTAACCACACTGGGGGTCACAGACACATCTGGAAACTTGAACAAGAATGAGTCCAGTGGAACAGCAACACAATCCACAGTCACAGATGCCTCTTGCACCGACTTGCACGGGACCAGCACGACATGGCCGGCAGGCAGAGTTAATTTACTACAAACAGTGACACGGGAATAGTACGTGCCCGGGTCTTCCTCAGAATTACTATCATTACTCCAAGAGTCAGATAGCGGTTCAGCGTCCGCCGCAACAACCGGACGGGGCTCTGATGGACCAACACTAGTAGCTTTCACGCCTAGCAGGACTGACAGATCATTAAAAGTTAGTCTGCCTTGAGCAATGTTCAATAATGCTCCATGGTCAAACAAGAAATCAGATCCCAATATCATAATTATCACGGCGGATATCAGGAGACACTACAAATGTATGCAAGAATGAACGCTCTCCAATGCAGCATACAATATCCACAGCACCCAGAACCAGGAGTCCCTCACCATTAGCCGCACACAAACGGGGAGCAGCTTGCAAGGGCACATCACCATACCTGGCCAAAAATGTTTGCTCATGCAACATAGAAACACAGAAACCAGAGTCAATTAACGCCGGTACGCACTTGCCTTGAACATGGAGATCTAGCGTAGGGACTACAGACGATACAGCCTCGATACGTACTGCATCTGCTGGCTCCTCGTGAACGACTGGGAGTTGTCCCACACCACCAGTCGTACTCAGTTTCCCGAGCGCCAAGGGTTGTGTGGGCAATCTAGAGCAAAATGGCCAGGTTGTCCACAACCACAACAAATCGGTGGTTCCACCTGACCACCACGACCATACGAATGTCCACGACCACTGCTACTACTATGAGGCTGATCAAATTCGAAACTTGCTCCTGCAGGAACCTGTGTTCGTGGAGCAACAATTTCCAAACAGCTGAGTCTCTTTTCGAGGTCTGTCAACCTGCGATCAAGTTTCTCGAGCGCCTGAGCTAGTTGATCACGCACTCCGGTGTCATTAGACTGGTGCAACTCTGATGCACTGGCATGTTCAACAGACGGTATCTTGAACGGACGAGGTCGAGGGGACCTGGTCTTCTTTCTGCCTTTGGTCCTTTGGACTTGCCCACCTCGATATCTCACTATCAAAATGGCCCAAGCTACAAACGCGATACAAACATTATTAATTTTTGTTGTTCAAAAAAACTTTTGAAAAATGTTACAAAAAAATTGACCTACACAAAACATTCTGGTTACGTCACACGGACGTTCACGTGCACATGCACAGGACATGACGTCAACAGTGTACTTGCTTAGTATGCACGCACACTCACGTGCGCAAAATATTTTTGTGAAAATGTAGCCCTTGCTACACGCAAAATATTTTTGTGAAAATGTAGCCCTTTCTACACCAAACAAAACTGTTACTCATGCACAGCGAACGATCAGTCAAGAAGTAAGTAAAGAATGGAAAACGAGACGAAGGATAGAATGACCAATACTAGTAAATTAGAACTTAGTCTGTTGGCTGGTCTCCCGAGTAGCTGGAACTGGTCTCAGACTCTCTGGAACTTGTCGACTCTGCAACTTGTCTCTCCTGCGGAGGCGTCTTCCCAGCCGAGGACAAAACCGACGACTATTTTTCCGCTGCCACCATTGTAACTCGTATACTCTCAGCACTCAAAGCACATACTTGTAGCTACGTAAGTAGTTATCATTCGTTCATTGTCTCACAAGGAGAAAAAGAAGACAAGGCAGTGCGAGTATGCGCACTGCTATCCATGCATTCCTACGGTGTACTATTTATGTGTATACAAATAACGTGTCATAAAGTAGCCATGCTACAACATCATTCGCATAACCTCAAAAGCAGTTAGCCTGTGCGGTGTGCAACAACAGTCAACTTTGCGTATAACCACACTCGGCGGGGCATCAGAAAAGTGTCCTTATTTGTGAAGTGTTGTTATACCCGAAGTCTTTTGAAAATCGAGTCAGACCGACCGACTGCTGTGGTTGTGCAGTGCCGGGTCCGGCTTGAATACAATGAATGCTATAATGATTGCACATAATTAAAATACTGCAAAATGCCAGAGCAGGCGAAAAACTTGAAAAAACGGCAAAATACGAGCGCAGGAAGCAGAAGTCGAATTGCAACTTCTGAGTGAGGAAGTAGGGGGGGGGGGGGGGACACTCCAAATAAAGGAAAAATATCAAGAGTGGAACAAGGCCGGACTCCAGTTCAAGAATATTCACATTGCTTGTGGGAGACGCAGCGACACTGGCGAAGCTGTGCATGGACAGCGGTTTGATCAAAACCTGTCCTTGATATGCATGCACAGACAGTCTGTGCGTCTTGCCGGAAGTATTTGCATGTACATGTATGCATGTGTGTGTCAGCGCATGTGTGCACATCCGCGCGCGCGCGCGTGTGTGTGTGTGTGTCAACGTAACGGTATTTGTGATACATTGCTACTTCTAAAGCACTGCTAAATCTAAAGGAAAACTTGGGGAAATGATAAATCAAACAAATATGCAAAACTGGTGTGGGAAACCCACTAAAGTTGTATGAAGGAAATTAAAAGTGCTACGCTGCATAATAATTATTTGTAGTTTATGCAAAGAATTTTCAAGAGGATAATTTTTAATTTCAAAAAGCGGCGGGAGACGGTGCAAAAAAAGATGAAAAATACCTAGAAAAACGATCATTCAATTCACTTGGCATCCATTATCAACCAAATCAGAACATGCAGAACAAAGAAATGAATGACAAACCTGATGCAGGGCATGATTCCGTGTGACTATTGTCGATGTCCCAAGTGCAGCCTGCACACTACTTTGAGCAAGCACAGATAGGCATTGGCCACCACGGCCACACACGGCAAACTTTCGCGGAACATCAGGTTTTGTCGGACGCCTTGCCGGCTAGGAACGACCGGATCGTGAGCTCAACCGTCAATGAACTGTGCACGCCTAAGAGGGAGTGCAAAAACAAACATAAACAGACAGAAAAACACCCATGGTGAGCAGGTACATTAAAACCTGTCAAGGCGGCCACTCGGATAAGGCAACCACCATCCCAGAAGACCGCTGCAACCAGGATCGACCCAGGGATGCTATTTCCTGTCAAACGACCCTTGATGAGGCGACCAGCTGGCAACAGAGACCACATTTTGAAGGTCTCTTGAGCGGTCATCTTAGACCGATTTCACTGTGCTATCTCATACCGATCAAGATACCGAGCGGTGGATCCTGCCAAGTTCTGCCTTTAGCATTAGCGAACTTCCGGCAGTATCGCTGCATTCACAATCATGTTCACAAGTACATGTACACTGCTGTATGGGTATATTCATATCATGTACCTGTACAAGCACATATACACTGCTGTATGGGCATATTCATATCATGTACCTGTACAAGCACATGTACACTGCTGTATGGGCATATTCATATCATGTACCTGTACAAGCACATGTACACTGCTGTATGGGCATATTCACATGTGCTAGTAAGCATTGTACTACACAGTATTGCATGTATTGTAGCACCCTGCACTGTCTGTGTGTTTCCATATGCAGTTTGCAGTTCCCTTCGACTGTACTGTACACATTCACACTGTATGCATTCACCCCCCCCCCCCCCCCCCCCCAACACTGTTTGCAGACATCATGATTAGTGTTGTGCACGGGTAGTCGGGTACCCGTGCTACCCGTGAGGACCTCGGGTAGACGGGTACAGAATAATGCCCGAAAACCCGAAGTCGCAGATGACATGAAGTGCAGTAAAAATATATATATATCGTGTCCGTTCACGAAGGGAACTCACGACGGCCGCCAACACCCGGTAAACTCTAGTGGCAGATGCAGCTCCTTACGGTGGGGGTGAGTGGATAAGTCGCACAACAACTGGCACAAGTGCCGAGAAACCCCATTAGGCATTAATAGAGAGGTTATGGAGTACGATTTTTCGTGCCAAAATCTGTAGAGGCGCTACGGATTTTTTTACGTCGTTTTCCAGCAGTGAAATGTTCCGGAGTACGGAACTTATGTGTTTGCCGTCATTGCCTAGGTTACGGTCGCAAACACGTCACATTCCCGCGCTATGCTTTTTTTATTTTGAAAATTTGTACCGAAATCAAAACTTCCCGCGGAAAATCGATATTTTCTTGTACCAAATTTGTACGCACAAAATCTTTCTGCACCCGATGACGCAAAATCTCCATACGAAACATGGTTCGTATGAAAGCCAGTCCACACGGCCGGGTACGGATTCTCCGTGCCGAAAAATCGTATGGAGCACGTGTCTAAAAAATCCCTAGAGCCCATACGGATTTTGGATAGCTCTGATAGGCCATTCACACTACGCCCATAACGTGGCATACGTGACGTTTTCGTCCGAATAGCCATGACAACATGGAACGTGGCGGGGAAAATCCGGAAACTCGAACACCTGATACGAAAACCGTAGACGACATATCCAGACTAGGACCCCTGTACCGAGATTCGTTCTGCTGTTCCCGGCAGTTTGTATAAAAGTAAAAGCTGTATGCACAGCTGAAGGAAAAGCGTGTATGTGCCTGTGTGACTGTACATGTGATTGCATGAAAACGACGTTTGCCAGTACGTGGAATTCCAAAACGTGACACGTATTGTAATGTAGTATGAACAGCCTAAACGGGATTACCGATTGTTTCATAAAATGAAATATTTCGCTCATATTTTGCTTCTGTTTGCTTGTGGATGGGTGTGTGTGACCATGCACGTGCATGTATGTATGCGGAAATATGCTGTGCTTGTGTTCATGTGTGAGGGCCATGTCAGTCGATAACCAGTCGATAGTCAGTCGATAGGATTGAATCTAATCGATAAGTAAATTGGGTCAGTCGTTTCACCCCTAGTTTCGGTATTTTCCACCAAAGCCTTTCGGCAGGGAAAGCCATCTCCAGGACAATATTGATTTCAAGTTTCGGAAAACTGGAGCATCTGGGCACTCTCCACATGCATTGAAAAATTATTTCCAAAACGAGACTTCTCAACCCCAACCACCCACCACCGAACGAAAACTTTTCATTTTGAAAAACAAAACGGCTGGTAACCTTGGATGTCGGCCCCTGAGTTATGAGTTAGTTGTTTTTTTGCAGTGAGCCATGCATGCAAGGGGGTTTGTCAACTGATAACAGCTCTATTCAGTCGCTATTCACAATCCGCGTATTCGCTGCATTAAAAATTCTTTTATTGTGATAAAAAGGGTTTACTCCCCACACTGCAGCTCGCGTTATTCCGCCGACTTGACTTGACACTTGACTGGCTCACAACTGCCATCCACTATTGTGATGTTGAAAATCATTGACCTTTTGGGCCAGTTACCGACAGGTTCGCCAGGTCCTGACGATGGGTGACTGGCCTGAAACGTCAATAATTTTTAACATCACCATAAAAGCATTTTTAATGCAGCGCATGTGCAGACTAGCAACTGAATAGAGCAGTTGTCAGTTGACAAACCCCCAAGTTTTCTTTCATAGTGCAGTTGCGTGATCTCCACAACATTCTTAGTGATCACTGCATATAACTTATGACAGAAACACTACACTGGTACTGCACGCAGGATGATAATCAGTGTACTTGAAGCCGAAGTAGGTATAGTGCATTAGATCTAGTTTCACCACATGTGCCCTCTGGCCTTGCGCATTCACACTACGCACACCATTCACACCATCAGCCCTTTTATCAGGTACAGCACAGCTCGATCACATCCGGTCGTCGGCATGGCACTAGTATTAATTATGCACTAAATTAGTGCGTTCAGTGCTGCTCAATCAAGTTCGATTGCGGGAGTCGAGTTTACGTCCAGCACCAGTTCACATTCCAGTGTTTGCAGGCCTAGGGCTGCGCAGTGCCAGGCACATACTTGCTTCAGACGATCGGATTTCAAACAGCAGCAGTGTAGTAATGCCAGATAGAATACTAACAGTCGCAATAATACCGTGCTACAGAAAATTTCACATTTTTAGCGGACATGGTTGCCTGTGCTACCCATGCTACAGTCACCTCCAGCCGTTTATTCATATTGCTGGCTACTCTGCGGTCATTCTGCATTCAGCACCCTGCCCCCTCTCCCCATTCTAGCCGGTACTGGCTCTTCTGGGGTCATCATGCATTCAGCACCCTGTACCCCCCCCCCCCCCCCATTCCAGCCGCTATTGGCTCCTCCGTGGTATCATACATTTAGCACCCTGCCCCCCCCCCCCATTCCAGCTACCGGTACTGGCTTCACCGTGCCATCATGCATTCAGCTCCCTGCCAACCTTCCCCTCCCCCATGCCCCTCCACCCTGCCCCCTCTCCCTGCCCCTCCCACTATTCCAGCTGGTACCGGCTCCACTGTGTCATCATGCACTCAGCACCCTGCTCACTTCCCCAGGGCTCCCCTCACCTGCCCCTCCCCCTTCCCAAGCCTGCCCCCCCCTGCCCCTCCCATTCCATCTGGTGCTGCTTCCTCTGGGGTCATCATGCAGTCTGTGCCCTACCACCTACCCCCTACCCTAATCCTTCCACTGGTCAAATGCTTCGCCGGTGTCCCATGTGTCACACTCACTCAATAATCTGTGCTACTCTCGCGACGACTTCCTCCTGAGTGAACGCTGCCAAGATGCACAGAAGCTCCTTGCAGCTGATCTCCTTCTTGTGGACGATGTAGAAGAGCTGACCGGCCACATTGTCGGTATCCGCTAGGCCGTGTCGGTTCTCCTTGATGTAAGTGGTCATGATGCTCTCAAAGTTGTGGACAAACTCACCGGCTGCCATTACCAGCTGCTTGGCCAGTTTCCCTGTAATCCAGAACCAGAACAAGAAAACATTTTCTCTGTAATCCAGAACCAGAATAAGAGAATAGAGATAGGATAAAGAACATAGATCCACAGGATCAACAGGATTCCGGGTAAGACCTTCCAAAAAAGAAGACAAACTGGTGTCCTCCACCAGTCTTGTCACTCTCACCTCTCGATATATACCTGAATGTGAAAGCCTATGACAAGATGAAAACTAAACAATACAAGTGCGAACACTTACTTCGTTCCGCAACAGTCAAGTACTCCGCCATCTTGTTTCCGAGATCAGTCAAATCGGTAAGTGTCACCAGCTTATCACTGAGAAAAAACAACAATGTGAGCACATGCATGCACGCATGCATGCATACACGTACACCTCAGACTTGCCCATCGCGGACATACATACATACACACACACACACAAGCACACACACACACACACACACACACACACACACACACACACACACATACACACACACATATATACACACACTACTACTACTACTACTACTACTATGTACAGCTACCCTATCGGGCCATTCCGCTCCCAGAAGCGGGAGACAACGACAAGAAGAGAGAAGAGAAGAGAGAGAAATCGCAAAGTCAACAATATTTGGCATGGCGCTGCAAGTCCTGTTACCACACACACATATACACACACATATGCATGCATGCACACACACACATACACATGCACACAACCCCACAAACGTACACACGCACACGTACACATGCACACACACGAACACACGTACACAAGCATGCATACCCAAACACACACATACACACCCTCGAGCGGGTGAACACAGAGACATCGGAATAGTTTCCAACAGTATATTAAAGAGAGATAGATAGATAGATAGATAGAGAGAGAGAGAGAGAGAGAGAGAGAGAGAGAGAGAGAGAGAGAGAGAGAGAGAGAGAGAGAAAGAGAGAGAGAGCGAGAGCAGGGAGAGAGAGAGAGAGAGAGAGAGAGAGAGAGAGAGAGAGAGAGAGAGAGAGAGAGAGAGAGAGAAATAAAGAGTGAGAGAGAGAGAGAGAGAGAGAGGGAGGGTGGTCGACGTCCAAGAGCTCCACGATCCAACAAATACCACGACAGCATTCATTATTGTGTCACAAGTACCACGCACAATAGGTTCGATGGACTTTTTGCGTGCGTTAAATGGCAGTCGTGAGTCAGTCCCGTCAGCAAAACACTTTCAAATGCATAGAGTTAGAGGGGGGGGGGGGGGGGGGAATGTCAGCTGACATTACTTTTCTCTTTCCACTTGCTACTTCTTCGGGGATGTTCATAAAAGACGATGACACATCTGTTGTTCTCATCACCCGCTTGTATGATGTGCGGACACACGCAAAAAATACAACATCTTCCCAGTTTGAGGACACGTACAGATAATCACCGAATGTCCATAACAAGCAGGTGAACATAGCCAGGCAAAAGCAGCACTTCTTACACCAACACACTACACTATCCAGAGAGCACATAACCAGCAAGGGTGTGCAACTCCAATCTGTCGGGTCTGCGACGGCAAAACGTCACATCACGTCACAAACCCGTATACAGGAATTCAATCTGCGGACAGAACTGTTTCGTCCTTTGTGGACTCATCCGCGCAGTACATTGGAAATGAGGCCGAACCTGATAGCAATGAAAAATTAATTTTTCCAAAGCCAGATTTAAACCAGGCCCGACCATACCTGCCAGAGTGCTCAAACTGACAAGGTAGTGAACGTCATTCAATATATTTTCATGATAACTCCTAGTGGTGTGCACAGGTAGTCGGGTACCCGTGCTACCCGTGAGGACCTCGGGTAGTCGGGTACCGAATAGTACCCGAAAACCCGAGGTCGCAGATGACATCATGTACAGTGCACGTGTACAAATAAATCACGCATGTCTACCCAATGCGCAAGGGAAGGGGCCGGTGTGCATTGTTTGTCTTACCATGGAAACATTACCCGATCGGGTACCCGTGCTACCCGTGGAAAACTACCCGGACTCGATACCCGAAGAAAATGCTACCCGACTCAGCCCTAATAACTACAGCGTGGACCGTATCCCTACGTCGGGTCCAGCTTCCTGGCGATCACTTTGCACTGTTCACCAGTGTAACCTAGGTAACCATGCCACGTGATGCAAAGTTCTGCAATCCCAGCATTGGATAAAGGTTGTACGGGCATTGGCACATTCTTGATGGCTATGGGTTCTTTTAGATATTTTTTAAATACTTACGCGTTGTTCAGGTTGCAGTACTTGGCCGAGACGTATTCCTCCGGTGACATGCAAAGTAAACTGATGGCTGCACCGCCAGTGCCCACACACGCTGCACAGATACACAATGAAATCAGACAATGAAATCAGCTCAGTGACAAAAGAGAAGAGATTTATTTGCAAGCGGTTCATTGTACACGGATATACATGTATAACCGGTTCAAAACCGTTCTACCCGCGTTTAGGGAATTTCCCTTACCTGAGCCTGATGGAGTTGGTTCTCGGCGCAGGACAAGGTTTGAAGGGTCCTGTCAACAGTGGATCAGCACACAGATACGTGCAGGATAGTGAGTGGAAGTGCACACGCAACAATCCCCCTCTCATCCCCCCCCCCCCCCCCCTCCCCACACACACACACTCACACACATGCAAGCACGCGCATGCACGCAAACAAACACACATACGCACGCACACAAGCACACACACACACACACACGTACACACACTAGGGGTGAAACGAATATACCGAACATTCGAATATTCGTTCGTTAGGCCACAGCGAACGAACATTCGTAGTTCTCACGAACATTCGAACTTTGAGAATGTGCGTACAGTACGATAAACCCGTAAAAACATCGCGATCAGTCACGATCGTTTCACAAACGTACACCGCCTGCAGAATATGTGTAGCTGCGTGCTTGTGACCAGCGCTGCACCAGGTGGTACACGACCCGCGCGCGTGGTTCACGAACTGAACCGGCACTTGGCCGGAGTCGAGGCAACGACATGTAGACGAACATCGGAACAAAGCATGAGTACTCGTAGATCTACATGTACTTACATACTTTGGCTGCTCGCTCTTCCTTTGACCACTTCGTAGTTTTGTTTCGAGTTCGCACTGTTCCCATGTCAGAAACTGTTTTCGGTCGTGCTCCCCGTTCTGTTGTTTGGGATCATTTTACCAAATCCGAGGATGAGAAGTCAGCTACCTGCAGGATTTCCCCGTAGCGCAAAACGGCGAGCAACCTCTATGCGCACCTGAAAACACAACTACGATAACTTTCAGCATTCTTCTGTCGTCTCTGGGAGTGCAGTTATTTCTGCGGCATCAACACTGAACAGGAAGCAAGTTGATGACAAACGTTGCTGTGACGCAACGTTCTGGTCCTCAGCAGTAGCAGTATGGCGTTGCTCAGTTGGAGGCCATTGTGCCTCAACTTTTGAAAGCATCATAAAAGTCGTACTGTAAAGTTGGAAACTTTCGCAAGTGATTAAATTTCGCTACTTTCGCGGCCATTGCGCATTCTGGAGAAGAAAAATCGCCACAAACTGCTCAGTACGTGCATTGCAGACAGCACAACTACAAGATTCAAAAAGAGGTAAAAATCGAGAAAAAAATTCTCATCACAAACCAGCCGCATTCATGAAAACGCAAAATTCGTGCGCCACAGAGGTTTATTGCTACACTGTATTCAAAAATTCCACTATTTTCTTGCCTATGCCGGTTCGTGCGCGAGCACGCGCGTGCGACGAGAACGTTAGAGAATGCTCGTTCGTTCGTTCGTTAACATCAAGAACGTTTGAATACTCAAATGTTATGTTCGTTTCAGCCCTAACACACACATACACCCACCACACACACACACACATGCACATACACACACACATACACACACACACACACACACACACACATACACACACACGTACACACACACACGCGCACACACACGCACACACGTACACATACACACACACACACACACACACACACACACACACACACACACGACGGAGGCAAAGAGCTGTGTAGCTGTAACTTCAAGTTTCATGCAATTCAGTGATCATCAGACAGCGGCATTCACAGAGGATCGCTGAACTGCTGGGTGTGTTTGTGTATGTATGTGTGTGTGTGTGTATGTGTGTGTGTGTGTATGTGTGTGTGTATGTGTGTGTGTATGTGTGTGTGTGTGTGTGTGTGTGTGTGTGTGTGTGTGTGTGTGTGTGTGTGTGTGTGTGTGTGTGTGTGTGTGTGTGTGTGTGTATGTGTATGTGTGTGTGTGTATGGTGGCGGGGGGGGGGGGGGGGGGGGTGGCACTAACATGACTATACTCTATACTTGGGAGTATAATTGGCAGTATACACGTACAGTCTTGGGGGAGGGGGGGGGGGGGTGATAATGGTCTTGGAAGGGGTATAGACGCTTGGAGGAGGGGGGGGGGGGGGGATATACTCATGGGGGGGGGGGGGGGTATAATATGCTCGTATAGGGGTGGGGTTGTATAGATACTGTTGGTACATTTCCATGCACTCTCACCTGAGTCCATCTCTTCCAGAAGGACAGTCCTCCATTGGGGATCCTCGCCTCCTTGTTCAAGACGGGACACATCGGAGTCGTTCCAGGCTCAAACACGTCGACTGCGTGAAAGCAGGTAGCGTGGTCGATGCACTTCCCTCTCCCGTGCGTAATGCACAGCACACTATCGCTCATCTTGCCACAACCGCATGCCACAGTCTCCTTCACAGCACAACAACCACAACAACAGACATGGATCATAAACACAACAACAGACATGGATCATTAACACAACAACAGACAAGTATCATAAACACAACAACAGACAAGGATCATAAACACAACACGTGTGATGATGGGGAATGTCGGTGGCTACCATGACAACAGGTGGACAACAACTGTACATGTATGGCGGGACAAGAAATGATCATCGAATGAAATTGTTCAATACTAGAAATTGTTCAATACTTTTTCGGTACTGAAGTACCGTAAAAGTCCGTAAATAAGTACGTATTTACTTTCGAATTTAGTGACCACACCCGTACTAACTTTCGGGCGGGTACTGACTTTCGGGCATGAACTAACTTTCGGACCTGACTTGTGTGTAGTGGAGAAGTCATTTTCATGTCGATGTACATGCTACGTGCTGCATGTGCGCATCGTACCGGTACTTATGTCGGGCAGTATGTTTATCAGGCTTGACTTGACTTCAACAGACAGAGCCAAAAGAATAAAAGGGTGTATTTCTTTCGGGCAGGTACATATTTACGGACTTTTACGGTAACGTCTTTTGCATAGCTACGGGAGTAATGTGCAGTCATATACATGAAAGGACCAACATAAGTGCATGTACTTTCGTGTGCGGAAAGTCGTGGCACCCCCCTTGATCACTATCCTGCTTACGCCCCTGAAGTGTGAAATCTTACCCGAAGTAGTAGCCTCTTGTCCACCATCACGGATACCCACGTCTGGACTATGCCAGTGCCGGTGGAAGCCCTGCTTCATCTCTCACTGCGAGTCCTACAATGTTTTCGTCAAGCACAATAGTCTTGAAATTGGGCTGCGTGGGCAGACCCAGAACTCTGGTAGGGAAACATGTCTACGTAGCGGAGGTTTCTGCGCACGAAGAAACACACAGTTCGCTAAACGGCTGGAGATAAGTGGCACTTCTTCGCCGGCCCAGTTCCGAGGTCAGAACCGTTGATTACTCGTTGAAGAACATTCATGAAGTGGGGCAGTTCGCCGCTGCTCGACACGCTGAGTGGATCTACTATGGGCCATGGGAGTAAGCAACACAATACTATTTTGACAGTACAATTACCATGATTACTTCAGTAGCTAAACTCATCTTCTTCTTTTGCGATCAGTGTACAGAACTGTCTTTTTCGTCTTTTCTCATTATTTTATTGTTTTAGTACGGAGGATTAGCAAGACGAAATTCGCGTTTGCGTTCGCTCCCCAAGGAAAGTCGAACTCACTATTGACGGAATTCGCGTTATGAGAAGGATTAGCAAACAGAATTCGCACATGCATGACGTTGACACGACGTTCATTGTGTACCATGGTGTACAGACAGTACAGCGTGGTAAATTTATGACTGCCCTGACACAAAATCCGCGATTCGTGTTCCAACTACTTTTGAACGAAAATGCGAAAGTTCGCAATCCAGTTCGCGAACTGAAAAAGTTTGCGAACGCGAACGCGAATTTCGTCTTGCTAATCCTCCGGCCATGGCATCATGGTA